GTAAATATATAGGAATTGAGCGGTATGTATGTAAACTTGAAAAAAACCTCTGATGACAATAATTACAAAAGTAAATTGAAAACTACTATGCGGTAAAAAAAATTTAAGATCTATGAATACGATTCCTTCTAAAAAATCGACTAGTACCATAGGTTGTATTCAAATAAAAATTTGATAGCACAACAAGAATGCAAATGAATTCAATTTTACTGGAATTAGGCTTGATCGGTTCAACTTCAACATATATGATCAGAGTATGTTCACTGGCATCTCACAAAATAACTTCATATTTTCTATTATAAGCTATATTTGTCGTCATTAAATCATCGTAATACAATAATAAAAAAAACAAAGTCTACATCACATCTCGAACTATCAATGTTCCAACTTTGCTTTGAACACAATAATGGTGTCCTTAAGGTAGTTAGATGGGTTTATTGCTTTATTCAATATATGATGGTGTGAAATCTTCCATTAAGGTTAATTCACCATCGTATTGGAGCGTTATTCTTACATTATTGCACGGTGCATTTCCAAATGGATGTTCCACAAATTAATGATGACAAACTTCTTCAATTAGATCAGTAATTTTTTACAACCTGCTATACTACACAAGGTATAAAACCAATATGACTAAATCAGAAAGAAATAATAAATGCTTTAAATTTGAATAAGAAGATTTACATACACACCAAACAATTCTTATGTAATTATATATCTATCATCTAAAATTTAATTTTTATATTTATACCACGTTACCTATGTTTAAAAAGAAGAAATCATTTTTTCAAGTTAATAATAGTGGTTTTTTTTTATGTCATATGAAAGATTTAAGTGTAATAAATTTAAAAGAAAAACTTAAATCAAGATTTAAGAGTTAGATATGTAAATACGACATAAATGTGTGGCATGTATGTAAATGCCATTGTGGGATCCAAAAATTCTATTAGTCATACTATCCGGCCAAAGAGCACTAGTCATAATTGGTTCATTTGTAGATCCATTAAAGCAAAACCACGGGGACAAAAAACTAGGACAAATATTCTTACTGTAGAGTTATTTTGAGTACGAATATAATCATACTTGATATGATATTCGATCTTCCTAAACGTAGGTTATCATTAGATTTATAATCCTCGACAAATAATTAAAAATGATAGATATGATTAAAATATATAACTCTGTTAATTGCTTTAGAAATAAAAAAAAACATTAGTCCTATAAACAATAGTTCTTGTAAAGAGGAAGATCAGATTAAGTGGGAACTCAATCTTGTTAACTTCAGTTCTTAGAAAGATGAGGATCAAATTATTTGAGATGGGACATATGACCTTGCCTTAAATATAAGATGGTCCGCCCGAGAGTGTGTACAATTAAATAATTATAAATTCAAATTTGAAAAAAAAAAAATTGCAGGACTACGAAGTGTGCAAGTTTTTTGAGACAAGTTATATTTCATTTAAAGTTTTATTCAACTCATGCAGTATTACCAAACAATTAAATTTAGATACTTGGGGTGATTTTCACAATAGATGCGAGTATATTCAAATGATAGATGTGAAAAATTTAGAAATTAAGAAAAAATATTTAAAGATTTGGTTAATTTTAAGCATGCACGATATTCTTATACCATATGATATGTTCAATATGTAAGTAAACCATAAGACGTCGGGTGCAATTCCCAAGTATTAAAAAAAAAAAAAAAAAAGAAATATAAATGCTAAGAGAAAAAAATAAACTATTTGTGCATAATAAAAAAAATTAAATACAAACATAACAAGACATGTAAGATTAAAATCTTCAAGATATTAGCAAAAATCTACCACAAAAAGTAGAAACATATAAAAATAAATAAGCATGTTTGAGCAAAAAAAAGAATTATGATCAATTGATTTGAATCCTTGAAGTTTATACATTCATCATCAAAATGTTCTTCTTTACCAATAGTTGTGTCCAAATCACAAATTGGTCCTTCATAATCTCGACAGTCATTGTCAACTTCATTAAAACCATTATCATATTCAATCTCAAATGCATTCATAATTGGTTTCTCCTTATCGTTGTTGTATAAATTATAAACACAAACAAAATGACAATCATAAATATTTTAAGATTTCTTTTCTATAAAAAATTAAGAATGCATAATTATGTAAAGAACAATTAAATGTAAATATGAAACTTGTTCTTTCATTCATCTTCCTTTTCCTGTGAGAATATATTATAAAAATGTATTTTCTTTCTTGATTAATATTTTATGATTCTTTATTTACATTAGTCGTTGACATAATTTTGATTACATTAGCATCAAATACATGTTCGCCTTCATTCATCCAATAAAGTTCCTGTCGAAGCACTAGATCTATTTTCTCAACAATCCACTCATCATCAGAGCCTACGTCATTTATCAATATTGGATCAAAGTTTTGTTTTCTTCTTATAATTCTCTCTCTCAATCTAGTATTATATCTTACATATACCAGAGCATTCAACAACTTGTGCTCCAGCATGTTTCTCTTCTTAGCATGCATCTAAGATAAAAAAAACATTATTTTTTTGAGGTGATTATAAAAACAAATAATAATAATTTTAACTTTTAAAAAATAAAAATAAAAACTTATCGATTTAAAAGTGCTCCAATCTCTTTCACAATTTGATGAACTGCATATGAAACTAAGAATTCAAATAGCAAAGTCCATTAACTAAGGTGTTTTTCCACCAAATCTCATCTACCAATCAGCAGAAGATCTTAGCTTTCTTGAGTTCATAGCAACTCTACTTCCAAGCCTCCTCTTAAGTTATCATACAAGTCTAGTTGAATATCAGCTCTAAGACGGTCTTCAAATTTTGATTACATCAGCATCAAATACATGTTCGCCTTCATTCATCCAATAAAGTTCCTGTCGAAGCACTAGATCTATTTTCTCAACAATCCACTCATCATCAGAGCCTACGTCATTTATCAATATTGGATCAAAGTTTTGTTTTCTTCTTATAATTCTCTCTCTCAATCTAGTATTATATCTTACATATACCAGAGCATTCAACAACTTGTGCTCCAGCATGTTTCTCTTCTTAGCATGCATCTAAGATAAAAAAAACATTATTTTTTTGAGGTGATTATAAAAACAAATAATAATAATTTTAACTTTTAAAAAATAAAAATAAAAACTTATCGATTTAAAAGTGCTCCAATCTCTTTCACAATTTGATGAACTGCATATGAAGCTAAGAATTCAAATAGCAAAGTCCATTAACTAAGGTGTTTTTCCACCAAATCTCATCTACCAATCAGCAGAAGATCTTAGCTTTCTTGAGTTCATAGCAACTCTACTTCCAAGCCTCCTCTTAAGTTATCATACAAGTCTAGTTGAATATCAGCTCTAAGACGGTCTTCAAATTTTGACTCTTTCCATGCAAGCAATTACCTCTTCTTTTAGCTCATCACATTAGAAAAATTATTCTCAAAGCAAAATTGAGAGTTTAAATAATAACCAGCCACATTTAGTAATTTATGAAGTTGGACTTCTCATCTTGCATCAATTTTCCTTCAAATAAGTTCATACTTTTAATTATGTCCACAATTAAAAGCAATTTTTCTTTTGTTGAATTCATTAACTCATAAATATAACCATGACTGCCC